CGAGGGCAGGCGTGCGGTTCTGGGGCAGCCCCGCCCTCCACACAGTCCAGTGCTGACGCCGCGGCCTGCGCTGCGTCGCGTGGCGGCTTGCGGCCGCACCTGCACGAACAGGCCACAAAGGGCGGGACGCAACGCGCCGTGTTTCGGTGCGCGTCCATTGTGCGCTGGCTAGTGTCCGTCTCCGGTCCGTCCCCGGTCCGTCGCCGCCTTCGCAGCCACTCGTTTTAAGTTTTGGCCTTGTACTTTTTCTTGAAGTGTCCGTCCCCAGCGTGGGGACGGACCGTCCCGTGCCAGGAAAATACCGCCTCTCCCGGCAATTTTTCCGTGTCATGGGACGGCGGGGTAAAAAAAAGAAGGGGAAAAAAAGAAAAAAATGAGGCGCCGAAGGCGCCGAAGGCGCCGACACGCGCCGATACGCGTGACAGCATGCAGCATGCGGCACCGGTGACCGCGCCGGCGACTCGGAAGAAAGCCTGCCCTACTCGAGGCCTTACTCGGAGGTCCCCCACGTCCCGGCGTCCTGGGTGGCGCCCTGCGGCTAACGGCCGCAGCCGCGGGGCCTCGCGGACGGCGCCGCTGGCGCGTGGAGCGCGTCGGTTCTCATGGTAGTTATGTGCGTTACTCTGCGCACGGTCGCGGCGCCGGCGGCTCGCGCGGGGCCTTGGCGCGTGGTGGCGGCGCTGGGAGGCGCTCCACCGCGGCGCGGCGCCGGCGCTCGGCCGCTGGTGAAAGGCATTATTATATTATATTGATAAGAAAGGTGAAAGCAAACCATGTTTGGTCGTCAATAGAGGGTATGGGGCTGGAAAATATGACTTTCAGTATTGTTTAATAGAAGGTGGATTTGAGTATCTAGTTGAAAATCATCTTATATGTATAGTAGATACAATTGGGAGAAGTGATGAAGAATTGATTAATGACTATAAAAAAATAGTAGAATCTTTGGAAGATTCAAGAACAAAAAGGTTTATAGAATTATATTTTGGAAATTGTGCTGTGAATACAACAGAATTGAAGTGTATCATGCCTATTTATTGATGTGACTGAGTCATTCTTTGTTATCAGGCGGTCTCCCGCGAAGTATCAGGCGGTCTCCCGCGAAGTATCAGGCGGTCTCCCGCGAAGTATCAGGCGGTCTCCCGCGAAGTATCAGGCGGTCTCCCGCGAAGTATCAGGCGGTCTCCCGCGAAGTATCAGGCGGTCTCCCGCGAAGTATCAGGCGGTCTCCCGCGAAGTATCAGGCGGTCTCCCGCGAAGTATCAGGCGGTCTCCCGCCAATTATAGAAACGGAGTTGAAGACAATATTGTTCAGGAGTGGTGTCATTGACACCACTCAACGGAGTGTCTGTCAATATTGTCTTCAACTCCGTTTCTATAGCCGACGTCGAGGGCCCCGCGGCCGCGGCGGACGTCGCGGCCGATCCGGCGCCTCCGCCACGTCGCGCCGGCCTCGCGCGGCGCGCTCCGCACGTGGCGCGCGGCCGCGGCGGCGTCCGCGGCCGCCGCCGCGGACGGGCGGCGCTCAGGAGCCGCGTCGCCGCCTGGTGGTGGCGCGCGGCCGCCGCGCGGT